GCCGAGGCCAGCTGTTGTATCGAGCCTGTGCGAGACGTGTCCGGCGAAAAGAGCCTGCGGAGGTTGGGGATGAAACGGATGGTGCTGTTGCTGTTGTTGTTGGTGGTGGTTGTGGTGGTGGTGGGGGGGGTGGGGGTGGTAATAGTGTCCTGAGGGTGGGGTGGGCGCAGCTGAGAGATGCGCTTGTGAGTGGCCCCGCTGGAGGTGGCCGAGACTGGGTTGCCCGGCGAGCAGCTGGGACGATGAGCCGCGAAGCAGAGGCCGTGAGGGGCTGCCAGTTCGTCGTGTCGCCATGGCGACACCAGTGCCATCGAATAGGCCTGGCCGGTTGCCGTGGATCGTCCGACTGCGCAGCAGCGTGTCTGTGGCCGACCCACTGACGCCAGACACCCTCGGAGCCGACATGGTCGGACTCTCTAGGCAGCTGCTCAAGTTGCCCCCGCCGCCTACAGACCTGACCTCGACGGTGTTGCCGTGACTGTTGTTGTCGTCATGGCTGCTGTTGTTGACGGTGTTGCTGATGGCAGTGGCAGCGACGTCCGGCTTGGTCGATTGGCCAAACTGAGACCTGGTCGTCCGAAGGCTGGCCGTCCTCGCGAGGGCGCGAAGCTGTGCCAGTCGGCCCGATGTGAGGACGGCACTCTCAGCACAGAAACACTGCCTGATTTGATGTACGTCTGCCACGTTGGCATGACAACTACGGCAAAAGTAGAGCGCTCGCTTCACCTCATCGGACGACTGAGCCATAAAGAAGCCTCGTGTGCCCGGCTCGATCAAGACGTTGCTCTGTTCAGCAGACACAACAAAGAGCAAGAAATTGAATGTCTTTCGAAGATCAAAGAAATAATAATAATAAATTATGCCAATAAAAGTTGGGTTTCGACGAATATTTTGTTACATAATTGCTGGGCTTACTTGCATTTCAAATGAAAGTGCTTGATGAAGAAATTTGAAGGTGGATACCACCAAAGGACGACAGAAGATCCTTCATGACCAGCTGTCAATTAGCCGACATGTAACACTCTTGTCGAAGCTGTTTCCGAGGCGTTTACATTTTTAGAACAAGGTATCATCCTTACAACCATATTCAGGCTAACGGGCAAAGGAAACTAACAGGCTCATTCCTAAATGATGTATGTATACTTCGTAAATGTGCTCTTTGATGAGGTATAAAGTGATTTGGTTAGTTAAAGCCAATGTCAACCTCGAAGCATGGGAATGTGTCCTCTGTGTATATTTATGTGCTTGTTAAAGGAAATATGGTTTTAAAAAATGATAAAATGCTTAGTGATTCTCTTCATACGACGGATGAAAGCTTGGCACATTTTCACATGAATCGAAGGAGATTACCTCGGAACCAGCATCAAGAAGAATGTTCCAGTAAAGCCAATCGACACCTGGTCAAGAGTAATCTGCCGTCGTCTGCTGGTGAGATCCACTTTCGAATCTCTTGACTAAATACTTTAACTCTAAATGGAAATGAGCTCAACAGAAGAGACATATACGAGAACAACTGAGGGGACACATCAAGGCTAAAATGACCATCATTCTCTGTCGCCACATACAAGTAAGTACACCTCAGACAACAAGGATACTTTTACAAGATTGATAATGGCATGCATTTCATTTCGTTGAAGAGGCGACTGGAGGGAATTCGGAAATTAGCCACACCGGATATCAAAGGTGGTTGCCTTGAACTTGTGACTGTTGCTGGGCTTTCATCCGTCATGTGTTAACTAAGATATTTCTTAGCCTTTCTAACTCTTGATCCCGGTAAGCTACGTCCGCTTAACGTAAACTTGTTGGTATCATTGATTTCAGTTATTTTACCTTAATAACATAAGTATGATTCAATAAGAAATGAAGAAGGGAACCTTCATTTTTGGATCTCCTATACTCATCCCTATCCAGTTTGTTACATGTATCTATAACTAGGACATCTAAAGAGAGCAACTTCAATCCTTTTCAGCTCCATAGGAAATTCAGGAGTCCTATCTGATCTATTCATCAACCCAAGGAAGTGTTCCAGACTCTCTTTGCCATGCTGCCATATAACAAAGTAGTCCTCTGCACATCTGACTAATCGTTTCAGAACTAGGTGTGAGCCATGTAGTTGTTAGCTAAAACTAGAGCCAAACACGATCCCATAGCGAAACTTCTTACCATTACGAAGTTATTGTTAAATTCAGCAATCTGATGGTTGACTCTGTTTATTTTACTCCCCGATATAATCTCTGGATGTAACTTGATTTTGATTTAAAAGTCTGTATGGCTCCACTTACCGGCATACTCGTATACATCGATACTACATCAAAACTTACAAGTAAATCTTCCGGTTCTATAATTTGCCCATCCAGTAATTTAATAAAGCCATCATAATTAATTATTAAAAATCGCCAGAAGCATAAGATTGTATTTGATTGATCATAAATAAATCGCGATCGCTTATGCATCACACAACCCTTATTAAAGAGGATGTATAAAAACACACTAACGCCTTGATTAGTCATGCCTTCGGTTAGAGAATCTTTACACGTCTTCTGAAGATTAAGTTGCTATAAAGCTTTCTGATCATGTAATATTGCCTACGTTGAGGAGACTTTTCGACCAATGCATAAGAGGATATCAGAACACAAAACAACCTGTAAAGGTATATCGATTGATAAATCGGAGGTAACTAACATAAGATAACTATAGGAATGATCTAAACTCCAACATTTTGCCGGAGTCGGAGACTCCACAATTAAGCGTAAGATTGGATAGTCGAGTGAGATTAACTAAATTGAGAACATTCTAAATAAAATAAACGAGTGTAAGCTGGATATCATTTGAGATATTTATATGTGGAAAAAGGTATATACAGAGAGAGAGAGAGTTGATAGGAAGAGTAACTGAGTTAGAGGAGACGACTTGAGTAACTTGGAGTCTGGT